CCTTAAGCTAAAATCCACAAACAATTACACAAAAACACGAATCCTTTCTTGAGAAGTTTAGAAGTTTAGAACTAATAGCTCTTCTTCTTCTTCAAAATCCTTTCTTGAGAAGGAAATTTTTTTAAAACTTAAATTATTACAGAAAAATTATTTTAAAACTTAAATTATTACAGAAAAATTATTTTCACACTTAAATTATTACACAAAAATTATTTTAACAATTAAATTATTACACACTAAATATTTTAACATMTAAATTATTACACACTAAATATTCTACAAACTTTATATAAATATTAAATCCCGTAAATCTGTATTTTCGTGGTAAACAAGCCCGCCTAAAAGGCCCAAAAATATTTCTMATTTGGAGCCCAAATTTTGAGTTTGGAGCCCAAAAAGCGTCGCTATTTAGTCGCAAAAGAGTCACAAATTGGTGTCTTTTTTGTGACGTTTTTGCGACGCTGAAAACAATACCCTAAACCCTAAATATTTTGGACCAATAGATTGTGGTTTTATCCCTCCTATTCAATTTCTAATCTATTATTAACCATTTTATGGCTTATGTGCATTGAAATRTGACATAGAATGTTTAATTTAACKYAATRCAYKACTTCACCACAAAGTACATTAAACTTCTAAGTGTTTTAGTTTTATAAATGTGATCTCATTATTTGTAATATGAATTTGAATTTGGACTTCTATAAATTTAACTATTTATGACTAATTAGTATATAAAAATCTAATTTCAGACCAATAATTAAGATTTACATCAAATATGATGTAAATTTTTCAAAATTCTTAAAACGCATCGAAAAAGTGTCACTGATTCGTCACTTATTTGTGTCTCTTTGATGACGGATTTGTGACGGTTCAGAACTCTTTGAAGAACTCTTTGAAGACGTTGCAAAAGAGTCACTGACGCATCACAAATGTTTATAATGGTCGATAAATAGTCGCAAAAGAGTCACAAATTGGTGTCTCTTTTGTGACGTTTTTGCGACGCTGAAAACAATACCCTAAACCCTAAATATTTTGGACCAKRAGATTGTGGTTTTATRCCTCCTATTCAACTTCTAATYTATTATTAACCATTTTATGGCTTATGTGCARTGAAATRTGACATAGAATGTTTAATTTAACAAAATCCAACACTTCACCACAAAGTACATTAAACTTCTAAGTGTTTTAGTTCTATA